GGGGGAAAAGGGGGGGGAAAAGGGGGGGGAAAAGGGAAAAGAAATCAGTTCTTCCTATTTACTACACAGGAAAAATTCTATTTTACAGTAGCTTTCACATTATAATCAGCCTTAACTGAGAGGTGAAAATGCCACGAGCACCATAATAATTTCTATCCAAAAAGTGCAGTTTTAAGAACAAAAAGAAACTCAGTACCTCTGTTGATCTATAGACGCACTTACTTTGAAGGATTTAGGTTTGGAAAGGATATCTGGGAGTCTACAGGAAAAACCACTGTTCAAAGCAGGGCTTACTTCACAATCACCCTGGGGTCTCAGCCAGTCCAGCTTTGCTGTTGGGTTTGAGGTTTTTTTGTTTGTTTTAAATCTCTAAGAAAGGCAACTGCACCATCTCTCCAACACTGTTCCAATACTACTCTCACTGAAAGAAACTTCTTCTTACACCCACTTAGAATTCCCCCTCACTTAACCACTGGCTCTTGCTCTTTCAAAATGCACCTCTGCAAAGAGTATGACTGTGTCTTCTCAGCAGCCCACCACCAGACTGTCAAGAACTGCAGGCAGGTTCCTGACCTCCTCAGCCTTCCCTTCTCTGGGCTGACCAAACCCAGTTCCCTCAGCTCTCCCCACACATTAGGTGCTCCACCAACTCCCCTCACCAGCTCCATGGGCCTCTGGCAGGCCCTGGCCAGTCTGCCAATGTCTTTCTTGCACTACAAGGCCCACAGCTGGAGATACCTTTCCAGGTGCAACATCATAAGCACCAAACTGAGAAGAATCAACACTTCCCTCCATCTGCTGGCTGCAGTCCTGCTCATGGAGCCCAGGATGTGGTTTCCCTTCTTCACCATATGGGATCACTGCTCACTCACACTCAACTTGGCCAGTCTGCAACTGCAGACCAAGACTTCTTTGGTCTTTGTTCAACTTCAGGAGGTCTTCAGCTCATTCTTCTCACTTGCTCAGGTTCCTTCCCACCCTTCAGCACAGGAATGGCTGTCTTTTAGCAGTCTTTTAGTACCCTCAGTTTTGCCAAGTCACAGACAACCTTTCAATTATGAACAAAATCTTACCCAGCAGCTAGAATTCAAAACCAAGAACAATTCACAACCCACCTGTCAGTACTTATTTTTAACTCACTGTCACACTGCTCATTTTTTGATTCCCATTGTTCCTAAACAAAGAAACAAACAAAACAAGGTTAAATATTTGTATAGACAAGTTCTGAGCAACTTGAAGACAAAAAGAGTTCTAGATAACAAAACAGTGTTTTGTTTTGTTTGAGGGTTTCTTTTTAATTACCTGAATTTGTGAACTTCTTTCAGCTGTTGCAGCGTTGCCATCTGAGTGAATTTCTAGTGTGTCAGTAAGCTGTGACCGAATTTCCTCTGCCCTACTGGGTGCACTTGACCAGCCTGTACTGCAAGCAATGTCTGCACAGGTTTTACAGTGCCATCTCCCGGGTCGAGCTTTGTTCATCATTGTTATCTCTGTATTAACAGCCCTGGCCGAGACACAAACCTGAGCACTGGTACTTCTGCTTGTTGTGAAGCAAGCTCTAAAATCAGAACTCGCATCAACAGCCTGGTGAACCATAGAGTCATTGGCAACACTTTTCAGGGTTTCACGATGCTCCGAGTTCAGACAGCTGGCATTCCCATGGGAAGATTTCTCCGCAACTTCCACCCCAAAAGAGGGATTGTTGCTAGTGAGAATTTCAGAGACTGGAAATTTGGCTTCATCATCCTTTGTGGTGCAGCTGGCACCACATGTGCCCACACCAGATTCTTCACAGCTGTAGAAATCGGAGTCTCCTGCACAGTCACAAAATTGTGTGGTTACTGCAGGGGCCTTTTCCCCTGGTAACAGTAAAGGATTGTCTTGCTTCCCTGAGACGCTGTGAACGTGTCTGATGTAGTTTGCAGACACTTCTTCACTTTTAGCGATTTGGGGTGGCAACATGTGGACAATCAGTGGGGTGTCTCTCACCTCTCCATTTTCTATGCTGTCACACACAAGCACATTTGGACAGGCCCTTTCTGTGCTCCCCCAAGAATGACTTTCAAGTATACTTCCACAACCAACACTGTGGTACTCTGTCTGCTCTTCCTGATGATCACAAGTCACGTCACTGCAATCTGCCACAGACAGAGAGTCCTGAAGCAGGTGGGGAAGCTCCAGCACAGCTGCTTCTGGGCAGGCCTGGTCACCTGCACCATATTCAGAAGCAGAACAATCTTCTGACAGGCCAATGAGAATTTGTTCCTTTGCAGCTCTACCCACCTCATGAACTGGATCGATCAGCTCTAAGGTTTCGATTCCTACAGTTAGCCCTTGCTCAGAAAACTCACTTGAGTTATTGCTGTCATCAAAATCTTGCTCATGAGCACTGAGATACTCCAGCTGTGAATCCTGACCTAAACGGCTTTGTCTGCAGTCATCACACACTCTGCAATTCACGTGTGTATCGTCACACGCCTTTCCCAACACACCAGCTTCTTTCTTGCTCTCATCTACATCCACACAGCAAATTCTCATCCTCTTCTTATTATACATTTCAATATCTGCGTCTGAAGACGAACTTAAATAAGGTAAGCTTTCCTCTAACAACTTTAATTCTGAAGCATTGGCAGAATGTGCCTGGTCAAAACCAGAGCAGTTTGCTCCTGCTGCAAAGTCTCCAACCAGTGCATGCTCAGCTTCCTTAGAATAAGAACAAAGATGCGAGGTCCGATCGAAGCATCTCCTCTTGCCTTCGACACTGGTCTTCTTTTCTGATGCCATGGTACAGACAGGTAAGTCCTGCTCCTCAGAAGTTATCCACACAACTCACTTCAACTTCTCCAAGTTATCAGCTTGTCTCTTCCTATCAGTTTCTCACCTTAATAAAAACAACAGAAGTTCAAGATACTCCATGGAGTACATGAGGACATCACAGTTTAAAAACAAGTTCAATTAACCATCTTATTTTTCCCTACTGCATGCTAGTTCAGAAGCTAGGAATTACGTGATATTTTTCTCAAAGAAATCCTAAGAGCTCAGCGAAGGCTGTTAAAGGAATTTTCTGTTCTTGCTTGTGTGACTAAAAACCCTTCAGATGCTGGCGAAGGGGGAAGTGGAAGCACATGGAGGAGGAGGGGCTGTGGCTGCCCCGGTGCTTGAGGCCGCAGTGGGGGCACCCCCCCTGGATGCAGGAGATTGCGCTGAGCGCCCTGCACACCCCGGGTGAGCCGAAATAACTCCAAAATCACCTCAAAACCCCCCTGTACACCCCCCAAATCACCCTAAAACACCCCAAAATACCCTAAAACCCCCTGTACACCCCCAAAATCACCCCCAAACCGCCTGAACACCCACCCTAAACCACCCAAAATGACCCAAAACTCCTCAAAACACCCCCAAAAGACCCCTAAACCCCCTCAAATCACCCCAAAATACCCCCAATCCTCCTGTACACTCCCTGAAACACCCCCAAATACCCCCAAAACCCCCCTGTACACCCCCACATCACGCCAAAATTACTCAAAATTACCCAAAACAACCCCTAAACTCCCCAAAATCTTCTCAAAATACCACTAGACCCTCCCTGAAAACCCCCTAACTGCTCCAGAATGACCCAAAGTGGCCCCAAAATACCCCTAAATCCGCCTGTACACCCCCTCAAATCACCCAAAAATACCCCCAAATTAGCCCAAACCCCCACAGGACCCCAATTTCCCTGACCTTTTGACCTCTTGACCTTTTGACCTTTGGCTCGACCTTTGACCCTTGACTTTTGACCCTTGACCTTTAACCCCTTCGCCTTTGACGCCTGACCTCTTGACCTTTTGAACTCTGAACCCCGACCTTTGACCTTTTTACCCTGACCCCAACAATTGACTTTTGACCCTTGACCCCTCCACCCTTAACCTTTGACCCTTGAGCCAGGGTCAGAGGTCAAAAGGTCGAGGCAAAGGTCAAAAGGTCAAGAGGGTGGGTTTTGTGGTTTCTGGGGTATTTTTGTTAGGTTTGGGTGGTGGTTGTTTTTTGGGGTGTTTTTGTGGTTTCTGGAGTGTTTTGCGGTTTTTTGGGGGTGTTTCTTGTTTTTGGGAAGGTTTGGGGAATTTTTTTGTGGTTTGGAGGGTGGTTTTGGGGTTTTTGGGAGTGTTTTTGTTGGTTTTGGGGTGTTTTTGTTGTTTCTGGGGTCTTTTGGGGGGGGTTTCTGACACCCCTCACCCCCATGTCCCTTCCCCTGGTTTTTGAGGTTGTTTTTAGGTCTGGGGAAACAAGAAGGATGCAGAACCGTAAGAAAACCTGAGAACCTTTTCACAACCCATTTTGAGACATAAGCGAAAACAGGAAGATCGTCTCTTGGATCAGAGTGCTTCTTTCAGTGAGAGAAGCAAGCTGGACAATACACCAAAACTGCTCCCTGCTCTGGACACACAACAAACTTAGTTTCACAGGAAACACGACCAAAAAGCAGCGAGAAAGCACATACGGATGGAAGACACTCTTTGGGAAGCTTGTTTCTTATAAATCATTGTCAGTTCTGCTCTGCCTTCCCCCAGAGCTCATCATGAAGAGAGGGATCCATAGAAACATCAGACACATTTCTCAGTCAGGCATGCTTTCTAAGCTACTGAGATGACACCTAACAACTTTCTATTACAGTCACAGGTCTCGAACCTGACTATGATCTTCTCAAAAGCACAGCAAAATCCACTCCTGTCTGTAACTCCTCCCCCTGTGTCAGCACGCAGGCCAACAAACAGGCCCGTAAGCTGGGTTTCATATGCTTCTCAAGACCCAAGTCGCTGGCTTAGCCTCTGGAGGAAGTTCCCAGCAAGGTGAAACACAGTCCATAAGCAACTGAGTGAAGTACTGAGGCAAGACATTGGCTGCTGGAGCAGCACAAGGGAAGATGGGAAACTCAGGCGCGTTTCTTGGCCGCTGCTCTGGGATTAGCAGACAAGTTACATGAGTCCTGTGCACTCCAGACATAAACAGTGGGACCCGGGCCTGCTCGCTGCACAATTTGAACAGACTCTCTACAGAGAACTTCATGATAGCCCTTCCTCATGGGCAAAACCAGCTTGTCTCTTGAATCTGCAGCCACTCATCCTCCTCTGCTAAGAATCAGCATTAAAAATACATCATTTAAAATCACTTAGTAAAAATTATTGGCATCATTTAACAGAAGTTATCAATAGAAATCAGTCACCCTCAAAAACAAACACCACAACTTACCACAGTTTCATTATGCACTCCTAGTTACTTCTGTTTCAAAAATGTTAGCTTAAACTATTACGCTATCTTTACCATCCTCTCCAAAGTGAAGCTTTGAGCAATGGTATCTGTGAAATTAAAAATCTTGCCATAAAGCTGCCAAAACACAGCTCAAATGCCTAGAAACAAATTACAACAGCTTATCACAGAGAACTGACTTCCCTCCCTGCTCACCTTATTTCCTTAAGAACAAGTCAAGAAACAAGAACCACAACAGCTTTAGGTACACCCCAGATAAACAACCGTACCTTGTTGTTCCTGCTACAGACACAGCTACACTCTTAATAGCAGCCAAGTCGGCTAGAAACCAGTACTGGTGTTAAAGCACAGCCTCCACGTCGCAGTGCAGCTGGAGAGCCACAGCCAAGGCCCCGGGGAGGGAGGGTGGAACCCTCACTGCGCAAGGGGAACCCCCAGGTGGGGAACCGCGGCTCACAGCGCCCACCCAGCATCCAGGCAAGGCTGAGCAACCTTCCTGCTTACCCAAACGAAGCCTTCCTCGTCCAATAACGCCTCTGCTCCAGCGCCGAGCCCTCAGCCAACGACCCGCGCCTCCATCA